CCCCAAAACCCCAAAACCCCAAAACCCCAAAACCCCAATTAGAATGGAGATTAAGTTATTTAAATTTAAATATGAATTCATATCAACAGAAACTAAATCCTCCTGAGAATGGGTCTGAGGAGTCCAAGGACAACTTAGGTGAACCCTTGGATGGCACCTATCAAGGTGATTCAAATATGTTCACTTCTGCTAAGAGTAGCAGTGACGAGAAGATCCATTACATCTCTGTGGCTCAGGAGAAGAAGCAAAACGTGAGTAATTTGAATGCTAAGAATCCGATAATGGTGCATAACTCCCCTAATTTGGATGATATTGACGAGTCTAGTATTACTAATAAGCCTGGGAATAGCAATGTAAGCGGAATTTTTAATAGCATCAAATTTATTCATGTTTTAGGATGGTACAAAATTTGAAAATAACGAATTAGAATTTCAAAATCTCAACTCTTTGAAAGGAAGTGAACCCAGAGACACTCCATCAGCCTTTGCTGATAAGGAGCAAGAACATGTCAGCTTGACTTTGAGCATATCAGATAATACAGAAGTGAGGAAGAATAATTCTGTCCTTGATGATTTAAGCTTGGATATTGCTACAGATTCACAAAAACTTACCAAGTTCACTAGTTCCACTCATAGAAATAATGACTATACAGAGATAAACTTTAAGAAAGAAGCTCGGATCCCAGAAAATACTGGGATTAAGAACTTTATTTCTTCAGAAAAGAAGTGTAGCTTCGCAGATTCACACTCAACTGCAAATTTTAAGATGGAATCCTCAGACCAGAAAGCAAAGAAGAATGAGGATCATAGCTTATTCACAAGAGTCAAGAATTTTAGACCGGTATAGCTTAAGCCAACAATATTTAGGACTCAAATGTGCCCATCCTGCTAGGGAATGTAGATACCAAGGCCTTTAACAAGCACAGTACCCAGAGGAACCAATTTATCAAGGAAGACATGCGAGAATCTCAAGAGGAATTCACAAGTTTTGAGAAATTAATTGGCCAAAAGGCCCAGCTTATTCCTCCCTCCAGTGACTCTTCAACGACTTGAATCCCTGAAAGGGTGACTATAAGTGACTTTGAGGGCCAGGCTCCAGTGGAATACGCAAGGTAGTTCATATTTATCTAACAATTAGGCCTTACCAAGAAAAGTCAAGTCTGAAAAACCTTAACGAACAGATCTACGAGAGGCTTCTTAGAGACTCTGAGAGCATACGTCAAAAAGTGAATTCCACAGCAAGGGATACCAAAATTCAACCCTATCGCAAGGGGATGTACTCCCATCAGAGGGCTAACTCTGAGCAGAACTTTGAAAACCTCAAGATTGAGGACAAACTGATGCAAAAGTCCATTCAATCTCAGAAAAGGTTTGAAATCCTCAGGAAAACCTACGAAGTTAAGGAACAGAGGAAATGTAGGAATAAACCCTTGATTAACTCCAAGACTCATGAAATCACCAGGGATTCCAAGGCTCTCCAACAACGCCAAATTGATCACCTACACAAATAAGAAGGTTGATCTTGAAATCAAGAGGAAGGAAGAGGAGCATAAGGCTATGAAGGAATGCACAGGAAAACCTAAGATTAATGAGAGGTCAAAAAGGATCAAAATGAGCAATATTTCACAGTTGGTAAAACCAAGAGCTAATAATCATAATCTTTGCAAGGGGAAGAAGTTTAAGAGGACTAAGAATAACAGTTCATCTAAGAGAAAGCCTCCTACTGGCAGGAACACCCCAAATGGGGTTACTCTGATAGAGTCTCCTGGGAGAGTTCAGCCTGCTGTTGAAATCACACCAAGGAGTATACTTTGAACACCTCAAAGTGACTACTTAGATGGATTTGCACAAAATGATGGACAGTTGTCAATGAATTGCACAAGCAACCAACATTTTCTGAAAGAAGGAGAAGAAAGTCTTGTTCAATATGCGAAATCTCCAAATCCTAAGCCTAAAAAGGTATCTTTCGGCTTTGTAAGGTGCAGTTCAACTCCTCAAATTGAGGTAAAATCGTAAGTTACCTTAAAACCCGAGTCTTAACTTCTCTAGTGTGAACACCATTCAGAACGATAGGCAAATGTTTTATGAGCCATTGCACCATAAAGTGGATAGAGTATTTTTCGAAGCATGAGAGCTTAAGAGATATGATCCTTCTCAGATTAACTTTACAACAAGTCGGCATAAGAAAGTAAGAGTCCAGACGAATATTGAGAATAAAGAGAATGAAAATTCATGCCAGATCTCCCCTAATAGATGAAAGACCAGCAGACAAGGCTCTATGTACTTATTCGTCTTATTTTCCTAGGACTTCAATGATAATCAATGGAAAGCTGAATAATGACCCAGTAATCCAAGTCCCTAGGGGGCAGAGTAAGAAAGCAGATAGAGTTTTGACAAGGAATAATATTAGACCGAGGAATCCATCTTTCTCAGCAAAGTGACTTTCTGGATATGTAGAGGTAACTTTTGAAATTATTTATTATTGATAAGCAAGTTATGAATTTTTACGTTTGAAGTTCTACAAATATTATCGCTTGAGTATTCGAGACTCTATGATTAAGAAAATCAATTGGGAAAACAGGGGTTTAATTTAGATAGGTTCTGTTGCTGTAAGAGCTAGTTTTGATGATTAAATGAGCAAAATATTTAAAAAGTATAATTTCTTCAATAATATTTCTGAGTAGGTGCTTTATCAAAATTTTATTTTACTTAATTACTCTCTCCTGGTAATAGAGATCGATAAAATCTTAAGCCGATGATACAATTTGCTTAATAGGTTATAGGCAGCTTCTCTGTTTAGTTTTAAAATACTAGAGAAAGCTTCTCTATTTCACATTAATTACCAATTAACAGTTGTCTTACTCCTCTCTTCTCTGGCAAATTCCAAAGAAATTGGCGACCTTGAGGGTATTTTTATTAAATTTTCGAAATTCCTTCGGCCTAATATCATTCTTCTGGTTCAAATTTTTGAAACAAAGACTTGGTCATGCAGCTGCTTCACCCTAAGCCTGCCTAACCTCTCAAGTCTACATACATTTCTGATACTAACTATATTTTACAGAGTGGGGCCCCACTGAAGTCAAGAGAGTTAGCAACAGAAATGAACAGTACATGTGCGAGGGTCCTGAAGGATCCTCGTGTCTACCTCAAAAAGCCGAAGGAAGGATGCCACTGGGGCAACAAGCTTAACGGCAAGAACTTTTTGGAGAGAGGCAAGGTCTGGACCTGGAAAAGAGACCTGAAGATTAAGCAAAGTGCAGAAGCACAGAGAAGAGACGAGGTCCATGACTGCACGTTTAAGCCAGACGTCAAGCCAAAGAAGTCACCTAGCAGAGGCAGGTACGGGGAATTGTAAATTTGGGGATTTTTGGAGGCAGATGATATAATGGGACTTATAGAAATTCGATAAGGAGTTATAAAACTACTAGAAACTCTCCTTCAAGAGAGAAGATGGGTAAGAAGGTCTTGTTGAATTCTCCATTGTCTAATTCAACAACTGGAGATCTTGGAACCTCATACAGTTCTCAGTATGCGAAGAAGTGAAAGTACAGGAAGAGCCAGTCAAAGAAGAGAACACAGAGGAGTAGATGCTAGTCTGACACTTGTGAATGTAATCAAATTAAAAATCAAGTTTTTGACCGAGAAAGGGGTTTTGGGGTTTTGGGGTTTTGGGGTTTTGGGGTTTTGGGGTTTTGGGG